GTTCCCCAAATGTCAGCCAATTAGGATCCAACCCATTCTGTGATTTTTTTCCTTTAAATTTTGGCAATAGACAAGGCACTTTGCTTCCTCCAAGTAGCTGCTGCATCAGCTGGCTGGACGAGGCCTCCACTGGTAGGATTAAACAATAAAGCCTTGCGTTTGCAGTTTGGTGAAGTCTGTCTCCTTGGTGGTCTCTGAGAGTCTTTGAGACATGGGCACAACAAAATATAGTATGTAATCACTCATAAGTGGATACCAGGCATAAAGCAAAAGATACCCAGCCTACAATCCACAACCCCAGAGAAGCTAGAACCCTCTTCCAGAAACAGATGGAAACAGATGCAGAAATCCACAGCTAGCCATTGGGCCAAGCTCCTGGAGTACAATCGAAGTGAGGGAGGAGAGATAATATGAACAAAGGAGTCAAGGCCATGATGGGGAAACCCACAGAATCAGCTGATCTGAGCTAGTGAGAGATCACTGATTCAGGTCTGACAAATGGGGAACCTGCATAAGACCGAACTAGACTCCCTTAATATAGGTGACAATGGTGTGACAGAGATAATACATGAGGCCACTGGCAGTGGGTCCAAGACCTAACACTAATGCACAAACTGACTTAGTGGAGCCCATTCTATATGGAGGGATACCTTGCCCAGCCTAGACATGGGGGAGGTGGGGTGCCTTGGTCCTGCCTCACCAAGACAATGGGACAGACTTTGTAGACTTCCTAGGGGTGGCCTTAAGCTCTCTGAGGAGCAGATAGGAGGTGGGGCCATAGGGAAGAAGTGTGAGAAGCAGGAGGAGAGGAGAGGAGGGAGGGGAAACTGGAATTGGAATGTAAAAAAATAAATTCATAAATTTTATAAGGCAAAAAAGTGTGTATTTCAGTCCATTACCCATTTCATAATTGAATCATGATAATGGTGGTGGTAATGATTTTCTATTGTGTTGAGCATCTTTAACATTCTTAATATCCTTAATCAGAAGGATAGTGAGCAAACATTTCCCTTCATTATGCATGCGTAAGCCATGTTTATTCCTATAGAAATAGTTTGCATTATAAATTTCATTAAATGCAATCTTTGACAATTTTACACATGTGCATAATACGTTCTGGTTACTCTCTTTTCCCTGTCTCCCATCTTCCTCTGCAAGTCTCCCCTTTTCCCTGCAAGTGTCTTCCTTGAATTCCTGTGTTTTTTGTTTTGTTTTGTGACACCTGAGTTTAACCAGGGCAGTCGTGTGATTATGAGCTCGGAACTGACCACTGGGAGTCACACTTGGGTGTACTACTAAACGTAATGGCTGAGCCTCCCCCAGGGCCCACCAGTAGCCAATAGTTCAGCATCAGGGAGGGAGGGCAGGGCCCATGAGCCCCTCCCTCATGGGTGCTTAACTGATGCCAAGTCCAACGTTACACAAGTCCAGCAGAGGAGAACCACAATGGCTGTGAAATCATTGTCTCGCTGACCGGAGTGTCATGCCCAGAAGCTAGCATGTCACACAGCCTTTCTAGCTCTTATGTCCTTTTCTGATCCCTCTTCCTACAATGATCCCTGAGCATTAAGAAAGATGGTGTTGATGTCCTCTCTGGGCCTGAGCACTGGATTGTCACTTTTTCTCAGCACACTCACCGCTATTCGGGTGATTACATCTTTTATGAGTCTATTTGTATCTCTTTTCAAATGCATGTGTATGCATTTATGTCTGCGTGAGTAGATGCCTCGTGTGCGTGTGTGCGTGTGTGTGTGCGTGTGTGTGTGTGTGTGTGTGTGTGTGTGTCTGTGTCTGTGTCTGTGTCTGTGTCTGTGTCTGTGTGTGTGCGTGCTCAAGGACAGAAGGGAGCTAGAGGTACAGGCTGTTATTGTTCTGGGAACTGAAGCGGGATACCCTGCCGGAGCAGAAAAGCGTTATCAGCTTCTGAGCCATCACCCCAGGCCCTTGTTGCTTTTCATAAAAGTTTAACTCTAGGGTTCTGAAGCCCTTGTTGAAACCCCAACCCTGAGCATCTGTTCTTTTAATGATGCTCTTAGGATCTTATGAGCAGTATTCATGCTTTTCATCCCCGCCTCCCCCGGGTACATTCAAATATCCTGTCTTCAAGTTGGCTGAATCTTCTGTTGTTAAATGGATTCTGCTACGGGTGGCTTCAATTCCCATCTTCATTTCATTTTGTTGTGCTCCCCAGGTCTGGGATTTGTTAAAAATTACTTTGTTTTCTGTAATAATGTTTGCCTGATGGCTACCGAATTGTTTCACTTGGGTTTTTTATAGAGTGTAGCCTTCCCCGCCATCCACCTGGACCCTGCCACAGTTGCAGTCCCCAAATAACACACAGGACGCTATATTAATTATGAAGCTGTTGGCCGTTTGCTTGTTTCTTACTGGCTAGCTCTGACTTAAGTATTTAACCCATAATTGTTAATTTAGGTATTTCTCTTACAGGAGAAAGGGTCCCAACCTCTTACTCCTCTGACGGCTACATTGTGTCTCTCTCTGCCTCTCTTTCCCAGAATCCTCCTTGACAACCAGTCCCACCTATCTTGCTTCCCTATTGGCCAACAGTGCTTTGTTCAACAACCAATAAGAGACAGATTTACAGAATGACATCTCCCATCAGTTTTTTTGTTTTGTTTTGTTTTAGGTTTTGTTTTTGTTTATCAATATATGGTTTCCCTGTGTAGCCCTGGCTGTCTTGGAACTCACTCTGTAGACCAGGCTGGCCTTGAAACTCTACCTCTTCCTCTTGAGTGCAGGGGTGGAAGGCATGCGCTACCACCAACGGGTTCTCTTGTGTTTTTAAGGGCCATGTTTCAGTGGGTTGTCTCTAATGACTTTTCCACCCCTGACCATTTGTGGCTTTAATATATATATATATATATATATATATGTTTCTTTTATCTTTTGAGATTATAATTGTATCATTTCTCCCTTCCCTTTCCTCCCTCGTGTGTATCCCTCCTTGTTCAAATTCATGGCCTTTATTTTTCATTATTCATTTTACATGCACACACACACACACACACACACACACACACACACATACACACACCCAGTCCTTCATTCATAATGCAACCTATATAGCATTACTCGTATGTATATTTTCAGGGTTGACCATTGGCTAACCACTCAGTGTGCTCTTCCCCACTCTCCGCTGCCTGTCCCACAAAACAAGATCTCAGTGTGTAACTCAGACCAGCCTCTAAGTTGCAATCCTCCTGCCTCAACATCCCGAGCGCTGGGATTACAGGCATGTGTCACCATGCCCAGCTTCTCTGTATTTTCTTGATGTTCATTAAGTTTCCATAAACCCGCTGTTTTGAATTCTTGTCCAAGAGGCCACACATATATGTCACCTCATCCTTAGCTTCTGGCATCTTACAGTTCCCTGGAAGCTCTTGATACTTGTTAGTATCTGACGGCATCCAGGCCATGAAATATCAGGCATTTACCCCAGCTTTCATTATTTGCATTTAAGGGTGCCTAGACTTCCAGGAATTCTAAGTAGGCTGTTTGTTCAGGAGCCTGTGGTCATTGCCACTGTTCCAACACTAGACAGGGCTAGTCCCCGTAACTCCCAGACTAGTGCTGCTGCTGTGTTTGAGAAGGATGGCATCCCCAGCTTAGGCTTGTTACAAGTCTGCAATTGGTATGCTGTAAATGATAGATCGGGGACTGCCCAGAAAAGGTAATCCAACCTTGATGAATCAAATAGGCTCAATCTGAAACAAGGTAGGACCAGACACCTCATCTACAATCACAAGCCTTCAGTCAGGAACAAGAGTGGGATTCACCTAAGTCCCGAGTCTCACCACAGAAGATCAGTCAAAATGGCCAAGTTCTGGGTCCAACCTGGAGACTTCACCTTGCTGAGATCAGTGTAACTGTGCTTCTCTGGCCTGCCTGGTGCTGCGGTCCGTAATGGCCTGACACCACTGCAGCCAGGCATGGGCGATGCTAGCGGGAACATGCGTGCCCCTCACAGGACATGCCTGCTTCTGCCTGGAGGCTGTTCTTAGGCTCTAGCTGCAGGGAGAAACCTACAGCCCCAGCTCCAAGCTTCCAGTAAAAGTTCACCTATCTCTGCCTTAGGCGACTTGTGCAGGAAATCTCTGAACTTGTAGCCTGAGGTTGAGGGTGAATGCTGGAGGCAATCCTTTGGCTAGCAAGTTTGGTGCTAAGTTGTGTCGCACCTGAAGTCACAGCCTTTAGAACTGGTATGGTTCTGGCCACAGTTAGCAGTTGTGGAGGTCCATTGCACCAAGATCAGAGGCTCTCGCCTCGTTCTGGGGGTGGAGCCCAGGGACTCTGAGAACAGTAGCCTGGGAGCAAGGGCCGTGCAGGGCAGAGTGTCACCCCAGTGAGACTGATTGGTACTGGGTTCCAAGTCTAAGGCATTAACTTCCCCTCCCAGGGCAAGGCATCTTGCTAGTCTAGATCAGCATTTCTCAACCTGTGGGTCGTGACCCCCTTGGGGGAATCAAATGACCCAATCAAATGCCTAAGATCACCGGAAAACACAAATGTCTGCATTATGATTCATAACAGTGGCAAAGTTACCATTATCAAGTAGCAACAAAAATGATTTCATGCTTGGGGGGCCGTGGTCATCACAACGTGAGGAGCTGTATTAAAGGGTGGAGAGGTGTTAGGAAGGTTGAGGACCACTGCTCTACACTGTTCGATTGTTGGATTTGTGGATTTTCCTCCAGCCTTCTCAACCATCTCTTTGTATTATTGCACTGAAAACCAGATGCTGTCATCTCTCGCCTGGTTCCTTAACTCCTGTGGAGGGTACTCGTGCGTAAATAACTCAGACTGAGTTTCTGTGGGTAAATACTCGCTGCTACGGCCCTTTTCGGAGGATTTTTGCAACTAACTCAGTGTTTTGTTTTGTTTTTTTAAGTAAATTCTTGAAAGAAATCAAACTCAAGCCCACCTGGACTTCTCGGGCCTTTTGCTATGTTTTTTCTTCTGTTTTCTGCTTCTGTCGCTAGGACTCAAGGGTTCCCTCCAGAGGCTGCAACTGGAATACGTGGACGTGGTCTTTGCAAACCGACCTGACAGCAACACCCCCATGGAAGGTGAGTAGAGGCCTCGGATCAGAAAGAGAAGCTGCAGAACTGCCCTGGTCCTAGCCTGAAGACTGTTTCTACTCACAGTAAGTGATGAGTGTTCAGACGGACACGCCAGAGTAGGAAAAGCCAAAACCTTTCCGACGTCCTTTGGCCTCTGCTTTTACCCTGAAAGCCCATAGACTGCTTTTTTTTTTCCTCCTCCTCCTTCTTCCTTTACTTTTATTCTTGGTGGCTTTTCTTTGTTGCAAAGCATTCATATTCTGCCGCCCCAGACTCATTTCACTTTCGTGATTCCATCGATCAGAGGGGTTTACAGCACGACCTCCGTGTCCAAGGGGCTAGTCTGAGGGCCTCACTTTCCTGCAACGCAACGATGCTAAGTCTGTCTAGTTTCCTGGGTAATAATGAATGCTGAGTGGCGCTGCGAGCAGGGATTTGACAGAACCGCTCAAATGAGGCCCCACTTTGCGGTTTAGTTGTTGCTCCTCTGCAAGCTGTGCAACTGCCAATCTTCCGTCAGAAAAGCCACAGTGTGTCCCTGGGGAAAACTTACAGGACTTTCCTAGAGCCGCGTTTTCTTCATTGTGTTTGTCTATCAATCCTGCCTGGGACAGCTGGGAAGTGAGATGGTTTTAGACACCAAAATGGAAAAGTCTATTGAGATTTAAAGCAAGAGGATGACAGGAACTTGAGGATAGAGATATTTCAAGATAAACAGAGAATAGTTGGTTGATTTGGTGTTTGGTTTTAAGTTTACATTTGGACTATCAATTTGTTAACAATTCAAGTAGTGTAATCTGCAGGAAAATCACACCTAAAGTAGTTTTGTCTTTGATAATTCAGAAAGCTGTTCGAATGTTTGTAATAAGCTCAGTTCTGTGAAGATGTATCCTTGCTATTTCGGTCATAGAAATTAAGGAAACTATTAATGTTTAAAAGTTCATAGGAATTTTTCTAGGTTGCATTTCTAACCACACATGGAAAAATGTTAGAGACATTTCTCTTTTTTTTATCTTTTTTATTGCATTGCCATTTATCTTTCCCAACTACTGAGAAACTATACATGCACAGCTACATCTATATACACATTATTATCTGTGTTTACATAGCATACATATGTGTATATATCTGCCAAAACAAAGATTGTTTGATAAAGCAAATTATAAACAGCATAAAAGATATTTATTTCAATAATACTATGGTGTCACACAATACACAAAGACACATTAAAACAGAGCACTAAAGTCATTTAGTTAGCAAAATTACCAAATAAAACAAAAGGCTATCCTTCTCTTCGGAATGGTGTCTCACAGTCACACCATGTATATATATACACAGGATATCACATTGCTGTTGTTGTTCTGTTTTGTTTACATCCTTCCTGCATCCTACTTTACCTTTAATTTTAGAGATATATCATATATTTAGAGATACATCTTACATTTCGTCAGTCAGGAAATACAAGCTGCATTCTATCTATAAAAGGAGAGCTATACTACAAGGGTCACTAAAAGAAAACACATAGTGGGTAAAGTTTGTGTCTAAAAGAAGAAGAAAATCCTCCAGAGACATGATGTGCTTTGGCTAAGTGCCTTTTATATAAACACCAATGATAATGCTGAAGTTTAGTTAAAAGACATTTCCAAGTGTTTTTTTTTTTTAAGAATAGATAGCTGGTACCTGAGCTTCATAGTGTTTATCTAGCCTCTACTGAAATTGGAGATTTCCCTAAGACATTCACATAAAATTCCACAAAGGGAAGCAGGGAGCTATTTCATAATGAGTTGTTATCCTGAGGCGTATTAAACAATGGGTATTTCCCACTTCTGAGTAAGTCACCAAACACAGATTTCTGTACCTGGCTTGGCAGCAATCACCCACCTTGTACTGGAATGTAGCCTGCTGTCTCTCCATACCCCAGGCAGGGACCTACCCCAGCCAGCAGGGTTACCAACCTCTGAAGCTCATAGTGGAGATGCTCTTCAGGCAGCTCTCTTGAGGACTTGGGCCAAATTCAGATGGCTCCCATGAAGCTTGCTCTAGCTTTCTGGACACGTGTACCTAAACTCACACCATTATTTGTAATTTACAATTACGTATTTGTAGGTCACATAGAAATGCCAGAGTTGAATTCTGGTGCTGGCGGCACAGATTTCACAATCAGTCCTTTCTGCTTTACTCCAACAGTGGAGAGTGCTTCCCTGGGAAATAGAGAGAAAAAGGAAGTAGAGAGACTAGGCCTGCCAGGTGAATTTGGGGACATTAGCTCCTCAAATGCAGGGATGGGGGAGATACCTTTGAGTTGCTTCTAGATTCTATGCCAACGATGGTGCTGGCAATGATGGTAAATCCTCTCTCTCTCTCTCTCTCTCTCTCTCTCTCTCTCTCTCTCTCTCTCTCTCTCTCTCTCTCTCCCTCTGTGTGTGTGTGTGTGTGTGTGTGTGTGTAAGTAAAAGTTGTACATACACAATGAGGTCTCCCTTGCAGGATGACTAGTGTTTCTTAGAACAATGCCTAACTACCCTTTGTGACCCTTCAGCGACTGTTAGTCGGTGTAACTCTACAGCCCTTATGCAACTGCTCTAGACAAAATGGCAAAAACATCTTCAGATACTCGCTCAGCCAATTCCTTTAAATAATAGCCAGAAAAGAATTAATGTCATTCACATGCTTTCATTGCCTCAGTACACCAAAACTTGGCTGAATCATTTGTATTTGCTGTAGTTATACAACGGTAATTAATTACCAAGCAGGTATCATCTAACTGCGTAGGTACAAAAACTGCAGGGCCTCGGCATTTGTAGATCCTCGGCATTTGTAGATCCTTGGCATTTGTAGATCCTCATCCATTTAGCTCAGGGGAGTGGAATAAAACAGCCAGCGTGGAACACTGGACAGGTTCTAGCCAGAAACTATGCAAATGTCAAGATCATGTGTGTGCCCGCTTTGGGTATCTCGAAGTCACATTTCTTAAATAACTTCCGTTTAAATCTGATTAAAATGCCCCCATTCACAAGATCCGTAGCATGAGTCAGTGTTAACCGGGGGGCATATCTAAAATGAACCAAGGTGAGTTCCGTCCAATCTCTGCTTACCAAACCGCGACCAGCTGATCCAGAAAGAGATCGACCTTTGTTCCTTCTTTACCGTATAAGGGCACCGTGCATCCCGTTAGTCATTGCTACCCATTCCTCCTCCCATTCTTACAAAAAAACAAAAATAACAAATCAAAACAAAAAACAAAGACAAAAGGCAAGTTCTGTCAAGAGAATGGTGGTAAATTCCAATGTGGAACTGACTTCTTCTGCGCTCTGCCACCTGATGGAATACAATCAGACATTCCGTGGTGACCGGAAGAGGTGACAGCAGAGGGGAGCGTGTGCGCTTTTGCCTTCCGTCCGCCTCGTTATTTTTCATGGTTCACCTAGTAGTGAGGCATTTTTCTTTCACAGCAGCTGCCGCGCCATCTGCCTCTGCTATGCTATCTGACAACGGGTGGCGCGATTCCCAATGGTAGGGAAAAAAAATAAAAGACTCAGCCCCGCATCCCACGTCTCCTTTCTTACAACAATGTATCCCTCCTAGGGGGAATCACTGAGAGGCCCTTGCCTCCATGAAACTCAAACTTGACTCTTTCACTTCGTAAATCAGTACGCACTTCGAATTCTTCTCTCGAGCTCACTATAGGAGAAGGCTCAAGGCAGCTTAAGTCACATGGATTGACAGGGACACTGTGTCTCATGTTAGGAGAGTTTGGGGTTTTGTTTGTTTGTTTGTTTGTTTGTTTGTTTGTTTTTACCTGCTACTGCCAAATTCAGGGTAATTATCCAGGAAGAAAGCCATCTATAGTTGAGACACAGAGATAGCTGTGAAGTGTGGAACGCTTGGTAATAATAGCAAAAGAAGGAACACTTTAATATACAGACTTTTAAAATTTACTGACAGTATGATGACTTTTTCAAGTTAAATTGCATTTTAATAAAAACCTAATTTAAAAGCATGCTTGAAATCAAGTCCTTTCATTTAGAACTCATTGCCAAAACTAATCTCCTAGAATTCCTGCATCATTGGATACTATGTCTGTACTAATTACTATTCACACTGTTCATTTTCTCCTTCTTTGCAGGCTAGTGCAGGTATAAAGCAAGTCAGATGTCTTTATTTCAAATAAGAGAGCTAAGACCAAAGTTAGTCTCATTAATTCCCACAGTATTAATCAAACAGCAAATTCCATAAATATTTATTTCTTCTTAAGGCATTTTTTTTACTGTTGCTACATGCAAACGGGAATCTATGAATATTTGGGAATCTAGGATATCTGTAACAACTCAGAAAACAAGAGACCACAGAAAACATTTCAACAGCCTAGATCATCAATATTTTATCAGTTCTAAAATAATGGACCCAGGTATTTTATCTTCCAAAGTAAAGTTTTTAGAACAAAATCTTAATCACCTGAAATTTACATATGTCATTTAGCTACAACTGATCAGTGCATATGACTTTAACTTTCATTAGGAGAAAGCTCAAGGCAGCTTAAGTCACATGGATTGACAGGGACACTGTGCCCCATATTAGGAGAGTTTGGGTTGTCCCCGCCTTGTCCCCAAAATTATAATAATAGCAAGAAGAAATCCTCTGCAAGCTGTGTGACAATGTTGCCCCAGGAAGACATAAAGCAAGACGCTTATGCAAGTTAAATCATTTATTAGCCACACTAAAAAAATTAAAATAAACAAGTGGGTTTCATTGCAATATTGTTCTAACTACACATACAAAAATTACTATTTCCAACTCGTAATCATTTTTAAAATGTGATCATTTGCTCCTTTACATAAGTCTCTCAAACCCACAGTACACAGCATACTTTGGACCTACACATTCCAAACGCTCAAGAGATACACGCAGGAGAACAATACCCTGGATGACCACAGAGGTAAAAACTCCTTCTCCCTCCAACAGAAGCCTGGGGCATCAGTCTGCTTTGTGTTGCTCTGACTGTGGTG